GTCACCACCGACATATGCCGCAACCTCAGGTACGTACGTGTGTCAGCCACCGACAATCTGCTGCGACGCGATTAGTGGATGAAGTCGGCGCGCTATGCACTTGCGCTGGATTTTGCGTTTTATAGCGACAAACGATGTAGATTTTTGGATATCCATCACGATTTCAGCAGCAAAGCGTCGGCGGAATCGCTCTGCGAAAATGTCGCGTGCATGTCAACGGAGATTCTAAACACAGTTGGTCGGAAAAGATGACTCACGTTCAGACACGGAGAGAAAGAGACAGCGCGCATGTTTCTGAGAGAGAGAGAGAGAGAGAGAGAGAGAGAGAGAGAGAGAGGGGTAGGGGGAGAGATAGAGATAAAGAAAGAAAGTAAGGGAGAGAGAGAGAGAGGGTTAGCGGAGCAGAAGAGAGAAAGTGAAAGTGAGAGAGCGAATAGAGAGAATGGGACAGGAAAGAAGGCCGAATAAAAGAGTAAACAGAATTAGAAGAGTTGGGTGGGAATTTTAAATGTATAGTCACTATGCTAGTATGCGGGAAATAGTATCTAGGTGTAACGTTTCACAGGTATTATATTAGAGAGAAATTATACTTGTAATTTTTTATTATACTTATAATTATTTATATTACTGAGAAATTAATCGTCGGCAGTAGTTTAATATTATTTCAGCAACTTATATTGAATTTTTAACTTTGGTTTGCAATTTCGTGAATTCGCATGAATAGTTTATTAGAGATAGACATGTGATGTCGGCATAGCCACAATATGATACACGAGACCCAAGATATCAATATTATCAAGAGGGTAACAATATTATGCAACAAGGGTTAATGAGGCGTTTGCGATTTATTGGTTTATGTAATCACTGCAATGAATGTGGTTTCCATGGGAAGACATCGATGGTAGGGTTCGAGTGCTGCATGACTGTGATGTTCTTGCATGGGTTGATATACTTACTATGTTGCTGTGTCTAGTGACGCTCTCACAGCCACACGCACTCGCATAAACACACACGCACACACATGCAAACTCGCATGCACGCACGCACGCACGCACGTACACAAGAGACCGCATGCACAAAAACCGTGCGCACACACACACGTATACGCACACAAAGCACACATACAGGAGTGCACGCGAGCAGTATACCCAATATCCAGACTCTTTCATGTGTTCTTTAATAAAACGAGTGAGCTGCTGTTGTCGCATATATTAGTTAGCGTCGGTGTTAGACATAGCCTGTGATGAGATAGCGCGCTGCATATCGAGCCTCTCTGGCTCTTCCTATCTTACGCTTTCCTTTACACAGCGTATGCTTGGGAACTTTGCGGGGCACGCACACCGCCGGACGACCGTCAGCGGTGAACGAGATAGAATCCCGATTCACTCCCTCTGAACGGTCGAAATATGTCGTCCACCAAAGTTAGAAATACTCAGAAAACGGAGCGATGCCTCGGAAAGGTTGTAACCCGTGTACGTTAGTCGATTATGTATACGATTGCCTATACGTTCTGCTACGCACGTCCACGCGGCAAGTTTATGGGTGGTATCGATATTCAGATTCGGTGGCGTGATTACCGTTGCTAAGTGTGCTGTAATCTCATCACGCACTCATCCCCAGCTCCCAAATAAGACACGGCGATATACTCAGCAGAATAGACTACTGAAATTCTAGCCTTGGCCCGGCTCTCACAACTCCTCTCACAGATCCCTCCCTACCCGTCCGCTTGTCATCGACTACATAAATCGGCCTTTCTAGAACTTAATGATATTAAGGTGCTTCAACATAAACCCGGCCTCGCTCTAAATGTACATGCCAGCACTAAGCGAACTAAATCTTGGCAACTGGTAATATGCTACAGAGTCAGATGCACCTATATACTATATACTATTGCAATCGTCTACAATTTAACTATCATGCGAGAGTAGTATAGTTTAGCGATTGAATATTATATAATATATAATATACTGCTGTCGCTGGGCGCACAGCGAATATCGATGCTGTTATCCACATAATTAGATGATGCGCGCGTACGTGCGTATATAGTGGCGTGCACGTATAGGTGCGCACTCATGCAAAGTTGCGTGCGCGTGGGCGAAGCGTATGCGTGCGTGCGTTGGCGAGTGCAAGGGTGTTTCGTGCGCAGGTT